AAAACAAATTTCTATCCTATGGTGGTAGAAGACAACTCATCATCTCTGTCCTTCAATCTATGCAAACATATTGGATGTCGGTATTTCTAATCCCGACGGCTACAATCCATGAAATTGAACAAGTTTGTCGCAATTTCTTATGGAACAAAGCGGAGGGGGAGATGGGCAAATGTCGATTTTCATGGGAGAGGGTTTGCTTGCTTGTAAAAAATGGGGAACTTGGCATGAAAAGGCTGGCACTTTGGAATCGATGCTTGCTTTTTAAACATATTTGGGATATACTTACTAGAAGAAGCATCATGTGGGTTTCTTGGATTCATTCAAACTGTATTCGGGGGAGAAATTTTTGGGTGATAAAGAAGAGAAATGAAAGGTCTTGGCTTATCCGAAACCTCTTAGAGTTAAGACCTCATTGTAGGAGGGTTTTTTTAATGCTTCTAAGGTATTGTATTCGGGAGGCAACTAATTTTGGGTATCATCGGGGTTGTGAAGAGATGGATTTGACACACCTTTGTTTTGCTGATGATTTATTTGTTTTTACTAAGGGTGATGTTCAATCGGTGGAGATTCTTAAAAAGGCCCTGTTTCTCTTTCAACAACATTCGGGTTTAGAGCCAAGCCTTGAGAAGTGTGAGGTTTACTTTGGGAATGTGTCTCCTAACATTAAGGAGGCCATTCTTGAGTGCCTTCCTTTCATACTTGGTTTGTTTCCTATATGTTATTTGGGTGTTCCTTTGTCTCACGCTCGTTTGAAGATTAGTGACTATGGGCCGTTGATTGCAAACGTTAAGAGTCGTATCCTTAATTGGAAATCTAAATTTCTTTCTTTCGGTGGACGAAGACAGCTTATTATCTCGGTTCTTCAATTTATTCAACTACATTGGATGTCTGTGTTTTTATTTCCATCTGGGATAACCCATGATCTTGAATCTATCTTCAGGAAATTCCTTTGGGCTCCAAGGGAAGATCCTAGAGGTAGGTGTCGGTTATCTTGGGATATGGTTTGTAGACCTCTTGAATCTGGGGGCCTTGGGATTAGGCGTGTGGCAACTTGGAATAGGGCTCTTCTTGCTAAATATATTTGGGATATTGTTCGACATCGTGGTTCATTGTGGGTTTGTTGGATTTATTGTCAAAATCTTCGCTCTTCTCATTTCTGGACGGTTAGGAAGAACTCTACTTGGTCGTGGGTTTTTCGAAACTTGTTGGATTTACGTGTTCAATTGCGAAGGTTTCTTTTTTCCCAAATTGGTGATGGTAGGAATACTAATGCGTGGGAGGATAATTGGTTAAACTGTGGTCATCTTTCAGCATTTATCTCTTACCGGTTTATCCATTCTTGTGTGTTCTCTACTACCACAACGGTTCATGAGCTTCTCATGAGTTTGAATGGTGTCTGGCCGAATGATTGGTGTAACAGGTTTGCTGAGCTTGGTTCGTCTCCTTTACCTTTGTTGAACATTTCTGTTCATGATAAAGTTCTTTGGTGGGAAAATTGTTTATCTAGTTCAGACTTCTCGGTTAGTACTGCTTGGGCTATGTTGGAAGGGAATCATCCGGTTGTACCTTGGTATAAATTGGTGTGGTTCTCTGGCCATATTCCTAAGCATGCTTTCTGTTTATGGTTGGCTTGTCAGAGGGTCTTCCTACTCAGGATCGTATGCATTGGAAGGAGGAACCACCTGATCTGGTGTGTTCGCTTTGTGGGCTTTGTATGGATAGTCATTCACATCTTTTCTTCCAGTGTACTTTTGCTCAACAGGTGTGGGATAGCATATTACATATTGTGGGATTGGTGGATATGCCTTCTTTATGGGATCAAATTGTGGATATTTTTTCTGACTCTAATCGTCGGTCGAAACTTTTAAACCGGAAACTTGCAGTGGCAGCTTCTGTTTTTATTATATTCGGCAGGAGAGTAATCGAAGACTTTTTTCAGATGATCGTCGTACAACTATGCAGCTTACTAAAGTTATTCATAATACGATCTCTATTCGTGTTGCTTGGCTGGATCGCAGAGCTATGACTACTCCAGGTTGATGGTGGATCATCTTTGGCCTTGGGGTGTTTTTTTAAGGTTTAAGTGCCTTTTCTTTATTTTTTGTTGCTTGTTGATGTCCGTTGGGCTTTGTTTTTTTGGGTTTTTGTGGCTTGGTATGTGGTGTTGGCCACGGCTGTTGGTTTTCCTGTTTATAGGTTGTGGTCGGACGTTTAATTTATGTTTTATTTATTGTTTATAAATTTGCCTGGTTTACGTTAAAAAAAAGACCTCATTGTAGGATATTTTTCATCTCAAATGTGGGTAACGGGATATCCACGCATGCTTGGGAAGACACTTGGAGCGAACATGGTCCCCTTATCCATTTGCTGTCGTATAGGTTCATAAATGGCCATGACTTTCATAATAACTCTACGGTTTATGACCCAATGCAACAGTTTGGTAATGCGTGGCCGCATGAATGGATACAATGGTTTCCCCAGTTGCAGCATATTGTGATCCCATCCCCTAGTCCTCTAGAGGATACGGTTAGGTGGCTTGAGCCTAATCAGAATCGGCAGCCTTTTGAGGTGAAGGTGGCGTAGCAAACATTGCAAGAATTGGGACCGGTTGTGCATTGGCACAAGGTGGTATGGAATAAAGCATACATACCTAAACATGCTCTCTGCATGTGGATGGCATGTCAGATAAGATTA